TTCGGAAGTTTTTGTTGCGTCACACAAACGGATTAATCTTCCGCTTTATATTGAAGAGCGAGCCGATGCGGAGGGTGGGGGGATGCGTGACGTCAGCAGGCACACCGCGTGACGTCAGCAGGCGCACGCGTGACGTCAGCAGGCGCACCGCGTGAGTCAGCAGGCGCACCGCGTGACGTCAGCAGGCGCACCGCGTGACGTCAGCAGGCGCACCGCGTGACGTCAGCAGGCGCACCGCGTGACGTCAGCAGGCGCACCCGTGACGTCAGCAGGCGCACCGCGTGACGTCAGCAGGCACACCGCGTGACGCTGCGCATGCGGGTGACATCACAATGTGACGTCACCGCTCACTGACGTGCAAAATGCATCCATTTTTGCGCCCCCCCCCCCAAAATACAAAAGTCTTTTTTTAGACTTTTTGCATGCTGTACAGTCTGGAGCTGCCCACATGCCAAATTTCAAGTTTGTTTGCATGTCGGGAAGTACGCTAAACATCGAACAGCTACACACATCACAATTTCCTTTATACTGGTAGGACATCCTGGTTACACCAGCCCACAGGGGGATTATTGTGTCCGTCCGTCGTGCAGGGAGGGACTGGGTGGGGCTGGGTGGGGAGGGAGGGGCTGGGTGGGGGGTGGAAGGGGTGGGAAAGGGTGGGGCTGGTGGGTGGTGGAGGGGTGGGGCTGGGTGGGGAGGGAGGGTGGAGATAGGGGCTGGGTGGGGGAGGGGCTGGGTGGGGCTGGCTGGGGGTGGGATGGGTAGTGGCTGGGTGGGGAGGGGGCTGGTCACCCCGTGGTGCCCTTATAAAACTCAACGTTTCACTACTCACGCCGGCTTGTGCCCGCCCCACAGTCGGGCATATTTGCGGAATACACCACGCCCTGGCCGTTGACCCTGCAGGCCATTGACCGAGCAACCCAACGTCACTACCAGCTCCCTACTCCGCAGCAGGAATGTGTGTATTCATACATGACAGATCGATGCAAATTGAGAAGGGCTCACATCGTTCTTAGTGGAGCCACCCCGAAGACTCACCGGACTTGCGCCGCTTGAGAGCGAACGTGATCAGCCAGGCTCCCGACGTCAGGCTGACACCTCCCAGCGCGACCACGGCCGCACCCTCCCCCCGCCAGCCACCTCGTCACCATCTTCACCTCCACCTCCTCTCGGCTCGGCACCGGGAACTCCGGCTCCTGGACCTCCACCCGGTCTTCCGGCGTGCACCGGGACGCTCCACGGGGCTGAGGCCGCCGTCGTTGTTGGTCGGACCCGAGTTGTTTCCAATGGACCGGGACTGGAGTTTGTTCAAACTGGAGTGGAGCTTCGGATGTTGACTGGGCTGGAGCAATTGTTGACCGGGCTGGATCAGCTGTTGACTGGACTGGATTTTGATAAAACCGGGCTGGATCAGCTGTTGACTGGACTGGATTTTGATCAAACCGGAGTGGATCAGCTGTTGACTGGACTGGATTTTGATCAAACCGGACTGGATCAGCTGTTGACTGGACTGGATTTAGTTCAAACCGGACTGGATCAGCTGTTGACTGGACTGGATTTAGTTCAAACCGGACTGGATCAGCTGTTGACTGGACTGGATTTAGTTCAAACCGGACTGGATCAGCTGTTGACTGGACTGGATTTAGTTCAAACGGACTGGATCAGATGTTGACTGGACTGGATTTAGTTCAAACTGGGCTGGATCAGCTGTTGACTGGACTGGATTTAGTTCAAACCGGGCTGGATCAGCTGTTGACTGGACTGGATTTAGTTCAAACCGGACTGGATCAGCTGTTGACTGGACTGGATTTAGTTCAAACCGGACTGGATCAGCTGTTGACTGGACTGGATTTAGTTCAAACCGGACTGGATCAGCTGTTGACTGGACTGGATTTAGTTCAAACCGGACTGGATCAGCTGTTGACTGGACTGGATTTAGTTCAAACCGGACTGGATCAGCTGTTGACTGGACTGGATCATCTGGAGCGGCCGTTGACCAGACTTCTGGAGCTGCGGTCGGCAAAGCGCGGAGCGGAGTCGCCGTGGAGTGGCCCCCGGATCGCGGCAGGCCCGGAGCGTCCTCGATCAAAACCTGGATCTGACTTTCTTGGCCTGGAGCCGGAGAGCCACGTGACGCTTCCGCCTGGTCTGCAACACGGACGGTAAAAGTAGAATTGGGATTCATTTTCTTGGTTATTTCGGTAAAGTCACGTAGAATGGAAATAATAAAATAATAAAAATAAAACATTAAATAATTCTCACGACGTTTCGGCCACAACGCAAGCAGCCGTCCTCAGGTGAAGAACAGGTCTGTCGGGGAGACAGCGTCTATGAGAATTATTTTAGTATGTTTTATTTTTATTATTTTATTATTTCCCTTCTACGTGACTTTACCGAAAGAACCGAGAAGATGAATCCCTGCAGTCACGAAAGCTTTAATTCGAAATAGAATTGGGATGATGATTATTACTGTGATGATGATGATATGAAAAATAAGAATGGGGTTTCTACCCCTTTCTATCAATAAAACAGGAGTTCAGATGTACAAAGGGGCCGTCCATAAATGACGTCACGCGATTTTGAACGATTTTTGACCCCCCTCCCCCCCTCGTCACACGGCGTCACAAAAGTCAGACCCCCCCCTCTCAAATATGACGTCACAAAGCTCTGCCCCCACCCCCCAAAATTAAAACATGCTTCAAATCGCTTTCAACTATTGTCATTGTAGTGCGTATTTAATGTGGCGCTGCACTGATGTTGTAGGAGAAAACATTTATTAAAAGTCTATTTAATTAAGTGGAACGTGTTGTCTATATTTATTTAAAGTTGCGCATTTTAATGTGACGTCACATTTCTCACCCCCCCCCCCCCTCTCCTCGTCACACATCGTCACAAATGTCTGACCCCCCCCAGGTGCGTGACGTCATTTATGGATGGCCCCAAACACCCAAATCGATTAATCCTTTTACAATGGATCAAGGACTGCATTAACCACGCACGCTGCAACGTCTAAAGGCGGGCAGCCCAAGGGCAATGCCACACACATCGGAGTATTTCTGGGTCGGGGGTGAGCAGCAGCTGTATCATGGGATGCATGTTTTGCCGGGATCAAAGTATGAACAGTAAGAATAGACGTTTCTTCTAGATGTGAAGCTTTCGTGACTGCAAGGATTCACACTCTTAGGTTTTTTCGGTAAAGTCACGTAGGTAAAAAATAAATAATTAACTAATAATAGAATAAAAATAGAAATAAATAATAAAATCACGACGTTTCGGAGGCAACACAAGTCTCCGTCATCAGGTGGGACCGTCAACTTGTATTTAAGAACTTGTATCTTGGAATTTTTGCCTCACTGATACAGTAAATTTAGCTGTGACGGTTCCACCTGATGACGGAGACTGTGTGCCTCCGAAACGTCGTGATTTATATATTTTATTTCTATTTTTATTTCAACAATTATTATTTATGTTTTATTATTTATTTTTTACCTACGTGACTTTACCGAAAAAACCTAAGAGTATAATAGAGTTTCGATTTAAAGCTTTCGTGACTGCAGGGATTCATCTTCTTGGTTCTTTCGGTAAAGTCACGTAGAAGGGAAATAATAAAATAATAAACAATTCCCCTTCTACGTGACTTTACCGAAAAGAACCTACGAGTATAATAGAGGTGTCACCCTTTCTGACAATGCAACAGGTGTTGTGTTAAGACCAGGGTGGGGAACATCCAGCCCGAGGGCCGTATAATGCCCCGCGAAATTATTGGGTCTGGCCCTGCCAAGGCAACCGCAGGCGGGACTCGAAATTCAATAAATCTCGGAGCAAACCTGGAAAAGCAGTTGCGAGTAGCAGCAGCAGCATCATCAACACCAGCTAACATCATCACACGCCCCGCCAAAGAAAAGCAGTTCCAGCCCATCGCGTTAGGGGCGAGTTAATTAAACGTTTGAGCAAATATAATGAGGTTAATTTATAAGTTGGCGTCATCTGGTCCAACCCATCTGAGACTAGGCTCTAAGGAAAGCTGTCTCGGGTGTGGACCAATCAACTTCAAGGACAGTGCATACATTATCAGAGTTGTGTTTTTTGTTTGCATTATGACTGCAGGTATTGTGGTCTATGCAAACATGACTCCTCGTAAAAAAAAAGGTGTCAGTTTTGTTGCCAGATAGAAGGGTAAAAAAACAATTATCATATTTTTTACGGGCAAATGAGGTACCAATGGTGAAGATAAAATAGCTTAAGTCCAGTTTCACAGCAGGGGGCGATGTTGCTGCTGCTGCTGCTGTGGTCACCGCTTCGCGCGTTTTCAGATGCACTTCCGCGGCCGTCTGGAACGCGCTCTTCCGATATTAAGAAGCCACTGGAGGAGCGATGGCACTTTGCAATCGTCATCATCTGGGTTCACAAACTCGTCTGTCTAGAACTGCGCTTTGCCTCTAGTTTGTTGACCGTCCCCCACACCTTCGATTAGCACGGTTGGCTACGTACGGTACGAAAGAAGTTTAACATATAGTACGTAGCCTAGGGGCACCCCCAGTGGCAGCTGTCCCTGTGCATCAGTCTGCTGTGTGGTCGAGCCTTGGGGCATCTCCACACGACGGGGCGCGGGGCGGCGGGGGGGGTGCGGCAGCAGCAGTGGGCGGTTATCGCGACCATACTTCACCAATCCTGGTGTCACCACCATGAATCCTCCTCCTGCTGGGCCTCACCTCTGTAGCACAGCGCACCTCTTCTTCCGCCGACAGCCATCGTCGTTCCAGCGCCCGTGTCTCTCGTCCGCCCCCCGCCGCCGCTGCCCCTCCTCCGCCCCCCCACGTAGAGCTCCACGCACTCCTCGTCGCTTTTTCCTGCGTTGGGCTCGCCGGGCGCCCAGGGCAGGAACGGGGCCGGCGCGCCGCCCTCCAGCCACCGCCAGACGCCCGCCCCGTCGCGGCGCAGTCCCAAGCCAGAAGGCGGCGGGGGGGGGGGTGCGGCGTGGGGGGGGGCGGCGTGGGGGGCGTGGGGAGCGGTGGCGGCGAGCGCGAGGCGAGCGTTGAGCCGCGCGTCCCCCACGGTGGCGAGGTGCCCGCCGTGCGAGCGGCAGTAGCGCGCCGCCGCGCACCACGGCAGAGCGCGGGCCGAGAAGAAGAATTGTCCCGCGTGTGGCGTGCCCGCTGTAGGGGGGGGGAGGGGGGGGGAAGAGGAGTGAGGGCGGTTGGGAGGTGGGCAGAAGAACCAGCAGTGTGGTTGTGTGTGTGGTTGTGTGTGTGGTTGTGTGTGGTTGTGTGTGTGGATGTGTGTGTGGTTGTGTGTGTGGTTGTATGGTTGTGTGGTGTGTGGTGCCGGACGGGCAACACTGTCGTGGACAGTGCTGATTCCAATTGGCCCTCTCCCCTCATGGCGTCTGTGACCACCACAGCGGCCAAATGGGGGCTCTGGACGGGTGCGAGGGACTGGTAACCCCTCCACCTTCAATTATTTACCACTAAACCACGACGGACAAATTTAATGAATAATCTTGTGCGGGGGGCCCCCGGGGGGACAGGCGTCTATGACGTCTCCTGGCCAAACCCCCATTTGGCGGAGCCAGGAGATTGAATCTTCACCCTCGGGGCTCCTCCAGAAACAACAAAAAGCCACTACGAATGGCCACATGGAATGTTCGAACGCTCACTGCGGAGGAGAGGCTGCCACTACTTTGTCGGGAGCTGGATCGGTACCGCCTAGATCTCTGTGGTATTCAGGAGGTCCGGTGGACCGGTTCTGGCTCCTGCCACCATGAGGGGTGGACAGTCCTCTACTCGGGGCAGGAGACTACCAAACAACAGGGAGTGGCTCTTCTTATGAACAAAAGAATGAAGGAGGCGTGGGAGCGTGGAGGTGAGGTGTGGGAAGCTGTAAGCCCCAGGCTATGTTGGGCTTGCCTTCCCCTCTTTAAGAAGGGGGACCGCACAGACTGTAACAACTACAGGGGTATCTCACTCCTCAGTCTGCCGGGAAAGGTCCTGGCAAGGATTATTCAACATCGCCTTGCCAGGCACGCTGAGGAAAGGCTTGCGGAGCCCCAATGTGGTTTCAGGAAAGGGTGGTCCTGCACAGATGCCATATTTCTGTCCGTTTGCTACAGCAGAGGCATTGGGAATTCCAACAAGACCTACATCTCTGCTTTATTGACCTGATCAAGGCCTATGATACCATCAGTAGGGCTGGGCTCTGGGTTGTTCTTCGTGCCTTCGGAGTCCCTGACCGGCTGCTCACGATCATTAAGGACCTTCATGATGGTGAGCGGGCCCGGGTAAAACTATGTGGCCGGGAGTCGGAGCCATTCCCTGTTCACCTTGGGGTGCGACAGGGATGTCCTCTGGCTCTAAAATTATTTAACATGTTTATCGACCACGTAGTTCGTGCAGCCTTTGATGGTTGTACCAGAGGAATTTCCATCTGGCACAGATATAATGGGAGGCTGATCGATAACCGAGTGCGGTCAAGGAATGGCTCCCTATTGGTCAACCACGTTATGTATGCCGATGATCTGGTAATAGCTGCTCACTCAGAGGAGTTGGAGACGCCTGCTGCTGAAACTGGATTGTGCCACTAAGAGGTGGGGCCTTACCATCGGCCCCACCAAAACTAAGCACCTGCCTGGGTATTTTGTACCATCGGGCACTCCACCCCCAAAACTCCCAATCGGTGATGGGGCAGTTGTGGAGAGAGTGGAGAGTTTCCCATACCTGGGCAGTGTGCTTATGACCGGCTCCAGTTTGACAGCAGAGGACTCACTCCGAATCAGTCGAGCGGCAATATCTTTTCATCGGTTGCGTAACGCTGTGTGGAAGCTACCTGGTCTGTCGCTTTGCACGAAGCTTCAAGTCTTTTCGGCCACGGTCATTCCCTACCTTCTCTACGCTTGCGAAACGTGGACCCCCCTAATGGAGAATCTTCGCTGATTGGAAACATTTAGGCTGGCCTGCCTACGATCCATCCTGGATTTAACCAGGCTGGATTGTGTGAGGAGCTCACAAATCTTTGAAAGATCTGGGCAACATCCCATCGGTAAGCTCCTCCAGCAGGCAAGGCTGCGTTGGCTGGGTCACTCACTGTCTGTAGAAAAGGGGGAGATCATACAAACTCCACTCACTCACTCACTCTCTAGAACATGGGGAGATTATACAAACTCCACTCACTCACTCTGTAGAACAGGGGAGATCATACAAACTCACTAACTCACTCTGTAGAACAGGGGGATATCATACAAACTCCACTCACTCACTCACTCTGTAGAACAGGGGGAGATCATACAAACTCACTAACTCACTCTGTAGAACAGGGGGATATCATACAAACTCCACTCACTCACTCACTCTGTAGAACAGGGGGAGATCATACAAACTCCACTCACTCACTCTGTAGAACAGGGGGAGATCATACAAACTCCACTCACTCACTCACTCTGTAGAACAGGGGGAGATCATACAAACTCCACTCACTCACTCTGTAGAACAGGGGTAGATCACACAAACTCCACTCACTCACTCTATAGAACAGGGGAAGATCACACAAACTCCATTCACTCACTCGCTCTGCGAGAGTGACCCACCAGCCGCTCGACGGCGTTGCGTTACCTGTGATCATCAGCACTGCTACGGTGACTGCCGCTCCCGCGATTTTCACCATCGCTCGCTCCGAGTCGGACAAATCTGTGGGCGCATCACCGCACCACGTCAGTCAGGCGCGCGTGGCAATCGTGCACATGCGTGTTAGAGAGACACCCCCAGACCCAGGGCTCGAACCCAGGCTCTGGGCAGGGCTGCATCAGAATCTCCGACACGGCCATTATGAACTCGGTGAGAGAGAGAGACACCCCAGACCCAGGGCTCGAACCCAGGCTCTGGGCAGGGCTGCATCAGATTCTCCGACACGGCCATTATGAATCCATTGAGAGATCCCCAGACCCAGGGCTCGAACCCAGGCCCTGGGCAGGGCTGGCTCTGTGCCATGCCCATTATGAACCCCCTGAGAGAGATCCACACTCAGCCACACGAAGAGTAAAAAAATTAACCCGTAAAAACAAAGTTCTTCACTATAAATCCTTTATATGCGTGGCGGCTAGAGTCCTCTCGTCCTCTGGCTTGAGATGGCTGCCACCTATGGGTCAGATGATTGCCTGCCACCATTAAGCAATTGGTAATTAAATATTTTTAAAAAATTCCTAAAAAGTGTAAAGTTATGGAAAAAAATTTTCACGAAAATAAATTGTCACGCACAACGAGTCTGTGTGCAAAATGTCAGCTCGATTGGATCACGAGAAGTGGGTTAAAAAACTACCGAAAGATTTGCACGGTCGTAAGCAAGCAAGCACGCAAGTGAACTTAATATAAAGGATTTAAAAACAACTCAAAACGAAGTTCAACTCTTGCTTCGTTTGCCAGGTAAGGCCCACTGAGCCGCCAATGTCGCTCTTTGGCAGAAGCGACCTGGCCGTCACGGAATGAGAGCTCAACGAAAGTGGCGCATCGAGTGGAAATGTGACAACGTCCAAATAACGGATGATGTTTCTAAATGTGGAGGCGATCAACCGGAGAACCCGGAGAAAAATCCACGCGACCACGGGGAGAGACACGCAATCTCCAAATATACAGCAGCAGCAGCAGGCGTCAGGGTCTGGATCGAACCCACCACCTCCTGTATACCAGGCGAGGTAGTTAACATCTCCTAGCCACCGTGATGATGATGATGAGAGAGACACGCAAACTCCAAATATACAGCAAGCAGGCATCGTCAGGGTCGGGATCGAACCCACGACCACCTGTAGACCAGGAGAGGTAGTTAACATCTCCTAGCCACCGTGATGATGATGATGAGAGAGACACGCAAACTCCAAATATACAGCAGCAGGCATCGTCAGGGTCAGGATCGAACCCACGACCTCCTGCACACCAGGCGAGGTAGTTAACATCTCATAGCCACCGTGATGATGATGAGAGAGAGAGACGCAAACTCCAAATATACAGCAGCAGCAGCAGGCGTCAGGGTCGGGATCGAACCCACGACCTCCTGTACACCAGGCGAGGTAGTTAACATCTCCGAGCCACCCTGATGATGATGATGAGAGACACGCAAACTCCAAATATACAGCAGCAGCAGGCGTCAGGGTCGGGATCAAACCCACGACCTCCTGCACACCAGGAGAGGTAGTTAACATCTCCTAGCCACCGTGATGATGATGAGAGAGACGCGAACTCCAAATATACAGCAGCAGCAGCAGGCGTCAGGGTCGGGATCGAACCCACGACCTCCTGCCTACCAGGCGGGGTAGTTAACATCTCCTAGCCACCGTGATGATGATGAGAGACACGCAAACTCCAAATATACAGCAGCAGCAGCAGGCGTCAGGGTCGGGATCAAACCCACGACCTCCTGCACACCAGGAGAGGTAGTTAACATCTCCTAGCCACCGTGATGATGATGAGAGAGACGCGAACTCCAAATATACAACAGCAGCAGGCGTCAGGGTCGGGAACGAACCCACGACCTCCTGTACACCAGGCGAGGTAGTTAACATCTCATAGCCACCGTGATGATGATGAGAGAGAGACGCAAACTCCAAATACACAGCAGCAGGCGTCAGGGTCGGGATCAAACCCACGACCTCCTGCCGACCAGGAGAGGTAGTCAACATCTCCTAGCCACCGTGATGATGATGATGAGCGACGCAAACTCCAAATATACAGCAGCAGCAGGGTCGGGATCGAACCCACGACCTCCTGCCGACCAGGCGA